AGGGTCAAGAGTTGATTACAAAAGACACACAATCCATTATTTAACAATACACTAAAGTCTAGCTAAAATTCAGTATTATGGATAATGCACTAGGGCAGGGGTTCTCAAATGGGGGGTCGGGACCCCTCAGGGGGTCGCAAAGTTATTAGATGGGGGGGGGGTCACGAGCTGTCAGCCTCCACCCCAAACCCCGCTTGTCTCCAGCATTTATAATGGTGTTAAATATATTAAAAGGTGCTTTCAATGTATAAGGGGGGTTGCACTCAGAGGCTTCGTATGTGAAAGGGGTCACTAGTACAAAAGTCTGAGAACCTCTGCACTAGGGTCAGCTAAAGTTCCAAGTAAAACAGGGATAATAGAGTACAGGCCTACTAGGACAAAGATGTTTGTTTATTTAAAACAAAACCCTCTTAACAATGTAGCCAGCACCTTTGGTTAACACAACAGTTTCTGGGATTTCTGGTCAAGAAATTGAGTTTAATGCAAACATAATAAAGGATTAATATTTACAATCCAATATAAACACACAAGCTTGCTTGACACTTTTCCCTTTAATGTTAATTTCCACCCACCCTACACTCTATTTTGGTAACTAGCAGTGGAGATTATTTCCTTGAATTCCAGTGCTTGGGAATGGGCAAGTCTCTGACTTCTCTGCAAAACTTAGGAGCGCCCCAGCTAGTGCAGGGACATGAGAGCCTTGGGGTCTGAAGAAGAGCAATTTTAGTGTTTCTTTGTTACTGTGCAAGGCATTTAACTCCCCTAAATTTAGCTGAGCATAAAGCTTTCATAAGATAAAAACTGAGTGATTTGAACAAGAGATTGCCATGGACTAAAACCTCAGATCTGTGCACTGTAAGACTCAGGAAATCTGGACCTGGACTTTGTTGGTTACTATCACTACCTTGAACCAAAGCACCCACCGTACAGACAGCAGCCCACAGCAATAAATTAAAATCGATTTTTTGGGTTACAATTTTAAACTTTGAAAAAATTTTAATTGTTTTAATTTTTAAAAAAATTCTTTTACCTTTGTTGTTCAGAGCAGCATGGTTTTCCATTTTTGCCATTTATATTTGGACTTTAAGCCATGTCTCCCATTAGCACCTTGAATCACTACTGCTGGAGCATGTTCCTGCTGTCCTTACTCAGGCAATATTTGTATTAACTTGCGAGGTGAAATTTATGTATTGGAATAATATTTAAAATAAACTTTCTTCATTTGTTAACTTCTTGCTGCTACTTAGAAGCTCAATAAAGCTTGATTATTCATCAAAGGTAAAAAATGTGCAACTACCCTATACTGTTTTTATTAGGGAATATCCACTATAGTTACCCATTAACTGAGCCTGTCATCAGACTGAGGTTCTTGATGTTTATCTGTGATTTTTTACAAAATTATTTTACCCCACAAGGCAGCTGTATACTATTTAAATATTCAAAAATGGTAGCTTTAAAATATTACATAATGGAGGAAATTCCTGGAAGATGAGCTCTAAAACTTAAAGGGTGAAATCCTGGCCCAACTGAAGTCAATGCAAGTTTTGCCTTTGACTTCAGTGGGACCAGTATTTCATCCTAGATTTTCATCCTACTATTTTAAATATATATAACTAACGTCTAAACATGGCTAATATCATTTTGCAGTGTATTAACAGGAGTGTCATATGAAAGACACAGGAAGTAATTGTCCTGGTCTGTTCAGTACTGGTGAAACCTCAGTTGAAGCATTGTCTATCTCTGCCCTTCAGGCTGGGTACCCTCCCGCTGTGACCCGACTTCCTACCCCACTGTGAGTGCGTGGGTGACTATCTCCCCCCCACCCTCCACTAGGTCTGTGCCTTCTCCCAACCAACTCCCTGCCTTTCTGCGTGCGTATGGGGCTAGTGGAAAACTGAACGGGCTCAAGTGAATGAGCTTTTGGGGACGGGGGCGGGATCAAATGTCTCTGAAAGCCACTAGCGTGAGCAGATCTATGTCCCAGTTGATTTGAGTTACGAGTTTTAGGTTTCAAGGATTCCTAGAAGTGAAGTCTTATCCAGGACATAAAACAGCCAGAAGAATGGCTGGCCAGCACAGATGCAGCAGGTGATAGGGGAATGGGATCAGAGTATGGGAAAGTGAGGGTGCTCAAAGAGATGGAATTGAGGGTGGTGGGGCAGTAACATTGCTCAGAGGTTGGGGGGAGGAGGTGGGAAGCAAGGGAGTTCCAGGACATGGGCAATTCAGAAGTTCACAAACACGACAGTCATTTCCCCATAATTTTGTACCTTTAAAAGACCCAAGGTAGGAGGCTGCATCTGGGATTCAACAAGGAAGGGTTGAGGATGAGCATCTGCATAGTTGTCCTGGAATTTCACTTTAGAAGTTGGGAAGGTGGTCACCCAAGAGACAGGAGAATAAAGGCTGAGCAGAGATGCATGAGAAGAAATGGGGGGGGGGGGGGACACATGCAGGTGGCAAAATGGCAGGACAAACCTAGAAAATCTGAGTGCAAAGCACAGAGAACCTGGAAAAGGTGAAAAATATGGAAAGAGACCCCATTCCCTTTAGTCCTCTTTGTATGTGGAAAGACCACTGACAACTCAGGAACACTGGAGGAATCCTGACTGGAGATCAGAGGACCTAACACAATTAAGTGGCAACTGGGGGAGCAAGACCCTGGAGTGGGGGAAAGAGTCTGGGAGATCACAGGACTTTGTGGGCATGAGGGGAGTCTGAGAATAAAAGGAGCTCAGAGGATAAGAGATTATGAGACTGGAGGAGAGGAGCAAGGTAGACACAAAATGAAGCAGGGTAGAAAGATGTGTCGGGGGGGGGAGAGATTCATCAAGACGTAGGAAAAGTGCAGAATAAGCAGGGTTGGCATAAGACTTGCTGGGGCCCAGGGCAGAAACTAAGGAGGGGGCCTCCCACCCTGCCTCCTTTACCTGCTCACACATCTGCAATGTTTCTAAAGCCCAAGCCCTGCCACCTGGGGCTGAAGCTGAAGCCCGAGCCCTGCTATCTGGGGCTGAAGCCAAAGCCTGAGCCCTGCTGCATGGGGCCCTCTGTGGTGTGGCATCCCATTGCCCTGCTTGCTAACCCCCTAACACTGGTGCTGAGATTAGGAAGAGAAAAAGAAATAAAATTATGTGCTATACAAACTTACTTTTAAAATTTTGTTCATTTTGAGTTTGCTTTAATCGTTACTGAAGAGTCAAATGTATTTCATATACCTGCTGAGTAAATGTCTTTGTTATATTACGGTCTTTTTACAACATAAAAAGGGAGCTCTAAGGACATGGACCTGGCTGCTGGGGAATACCTCAGCTGGAGTGTTCCCAGGGTGCCAAAAAGCCAGCATAAAAGCTCTCACATGTGGTATTGCCTCAATGACTCTTAGAGACTATTGGCAGCCAAGTGTAAATTAGAGCAGTCCTTAGATTTTTCTTATTTGTCTTAGGGCCAAATCCCAGAATGGGGGAGGCACAAAGATAATACAAGGGGATCTTTCTCCCACTCTTTAATCCTGATTAAACAAGTTTGTTGGACCTAAAAATCAGGCCTAAATATGTCATTTTAAATTCACATATACCTCATTTAAAAGCGTTTTCCATATATAGTTCACAAGTCAATACATACTTAACATACGTTCCTTGGCTAAAAGCTGCCCTATACATATCGTTAAGGCAAAGATTTTCTAATGGTTATTTTTAGTAAAAGTCATGGATAGGTCACGGGCAATAAACAAAAATTCACAGAAGCCATGACCTGTCTGTGACTTTTGCAGCTGCGACTCCATGGTTTCCCCTGCCACCATGGTGGCTGGGAGCTGTGGGGTTCCCCCTCTGCCTGCAGCAGCTGGAAGCTGCAGGGGGGCCCCCTCTGCTCATTGCGGCTAGGAGCCGCAGGATGACCGTATTTCCCAAAGAGAAAACGGGATACCCCTAGCCGCTCACCCGAGGCGTCCCCCTCCCCCCACACGAGGCCGTCGCCCATCACTGAAACCCTGAGAAGGGCCCCCTCAGGAGTCTGTCACCTGTGGCTGGAACCTTGCAGAGGTCTCACTGTCATCTGTCTCTGGAAGTCATGGATTCCGTGACTTCCACGACATCTGTGACATAAACATAGCCTTAGATATTGTGTATTGATATAGTCAAAATATTTCTGCTCTAATTGGGAATAAGGTTCGGTTGGGCAAACAGGGGCAGCTCCAGGCACCAAGCATGTGCCAGGGGCGGCCTGCCGATTGCTGTGTGGGCGGCAGTCAGGGAGCCTTCGGCTGCATGCCTGCAGGAGGTCTGCCGGTCCCATGGCTTCGGCGGCAATTCGGCAGTGGGTACGCCGAAGCCACGGGACCAGCGGACCTCCTGCAGGCATGCCGCCAAATCCGCGTTACCAGTGGACCTCCCCCAGGTGCGCCGCCGAAAGCCACCTGACTGCCATGCTTGGGGCGGCAAAACACATAGAGCCGCCCCTGGTTTCTAGTCTAAGTCCTTACACGTTTGCTGCCTTGTGCCCTGGTTTGAGGTGTCCCTTATCTTCTCAGTAGTGCAACTATTTGGGTGCTGTGTATTAACCTGAGGGCAGCAGGATTAGTCTCTGTGAGAGACATGCTGCCAAACCCTTCTTCTCAGAAAGTGTGGGGGGGGCTAAGTTAGGGGGCCATGGGTAATGGGTTATGCCCACACAACCCCCACTAGGAGAGAGAGTGAGCAGGGCCCCGTACACGCTCTAGAGCTGGCCCTGTATAACCACCTGCTCCCTGGGCCGCAGCCTAGGGCACGGAGACTACAGCCCCCAGCACACAGTGCGGCGCGGAGAAGGACTACAGTTCCCAGCATGCAATGCTCGACTCAGGCCAAGGTTGGCGAGGAGCTGAGGGACCTGGGACTGCATCTCCCATCATGCCCTACGCCAACGAAATGAAGCTATCGATGAGCACCCGGCGCATAGCACGCTGGGAGTTGTAGTCAGTCTATGTTCGGAGGGGTTGTCCGGGTCAAGGGAGGGTGGTGGCGCTGCAGTGGGGATGTGGCGAGCGTGACGTGATTTTGTCCGCGTTGGAACTGGGGGCGGCCGTGGTGGCGAGCGTGACGTGGCAGAGACCGAGCGAGGCTCCCCCGGATACAAGAGCAGCAGCAGTAGCCGCCGCCAGCAGTTGCTGGGCCGGGACCCCGCGGAGGGATCTGAAAAGAGAGACCGGGATTGGGGCATAAACCGCTGCCGCGCACACACTCCTCCCGCTCGCCGCCGCCCAGCCCGAGCCGCCATGGGCCTCACCATCTCCTCGCTCTTTTCACGTCTCTTCGGCAAGAAGCAGATGCGCATCCTCATGGGTAAGAGAGAGACCCCCGGACCCGCCCGGCCCTGCCTTCCGTCGCCTGAGGGATCCCGACCTCCCGGGCTGCGCTTGCCGCATCCGCAGCCCCCTGCTTGCCGTTACTCGGCCTCTCTCGTGTAGACGCGGCTGGGCCCCTGCGGGGGGAGGGGAGTGTTCCGTGAGGCCGTTGGGGGTGCAGTAGGAAGCGGCCGGGGGCTTGCGAGCCGGCTACACCGGTACAGGACTATGGGGCGGGGGGAGGCGTCTGTCTGTCTGCGCCCTTCAGGCCTGGGTACGCTCCTGCCGTGACCTGACCTCTTACCCCGCTGTGGGCGCGTGTGTCTCTATCCCCCCGGGCCTGCGCCTTCTCCCAACCAACTCCCTGCCCTCCTGCGTGGGTATGGGGCGAGTGGAAAACGGAACGGCCTCAAGTGAATGAGCTTGGGGAGGGGGAGGGGCTGTGTTCTTTCCCCTTTATTTTCTTTACCTACTCACCCCACAGTTTTGTTGGTGGGAGATTTTTTTAGTCCTTCTATTAGAAAATGCCCTAAACCTTGCTCCCACCCTTCCCTGAGGCTTGTAGCCAAGGTGGGGATTATTTAGCACCACATGTATGTATGTATGTGTGTGTGCACACACTAAAACAAGCACAGACTGTAAAAAGAATGTGAAACTGTTAATAGGTAAATGCCATACCTGATCATTTGTGGAAGGATTTGATAATTAAGGAATGTCTCCTCAGTTCCAGGAGTTCACTGGATTTGCATGTATGCCCCCCCCCCCCATCTCCCAAAATCTAATTCCAGTGAACTAGAATTAAGAAGACCTCCCTCAAAATCTAAGCACTTTACGTATGATTAGGTATCACCTTTACCTATCACAGTTTAAGCAATGTGGCTGTTTTGAACATGATGTGACAGCACCAAGTGTGTTAATGTAGTCCTAAGGGCTCCAGAATTTGACTGCTAAACAGAAAGCATTAATTTCCAGTAATTTAGCCATTTTTGCTCATTTTGTTCTGAGAAAGAATGTTGCCTTTAATCACAAATTCTGGTGTATCTTGCATATAGGATTATAAAAATACAACTTTTTGTATCAAGCTAGTTTTATTAGGCCACTGTCTGACCACAGATACATTGTGGCTCTTCAGAAATGTACTGTGTAACCAGTGGCGCTGGAACATTTTTTTACAGTGGGGGTGCTGAAAGCTAGTGGTCCCCACCCCAAACTTTTTACCTCACTACCTACTTACTCCTGTCTGTGCCCCTCCACACTCCCAGAGCTAGGGGTGGGGGACCAAGGCTGGGACCCCAGGAGCGGAGTGCCGGGCTGGGACCCTGGGCGCAAGGTGACTGATGAGACCCTGCACAAAAACTGGGGGTGTGACAGCACCCCTAGTTCCTGTACCTATGTGTGTAACAGTTCAAACCAGTCACTTCTTTACTCCTACTGTAATTCCCAGACTTGGAAGTTGAAAAGGTGATAATCACATGCTGCATTCAATGTTTCCTTTCTTCCCATTCCCAACTTTATACACTCCTTTTCCTACAATTGTCCAGCTAGGTGAATGGGGCTTTTTTCAGTGCCTATCAGTTGGTCCTTAATTAACAAGAGGGATTGCTGTTGAGTAATATAAAGAGAGCTTCTTTTACCATGGGCTCAATCCATTGCCTTTGCACCACATCTAAGTCTGTTGGCTAAAGAACTGAGAACTCCTAACTTGTTGGCATATCAATTTGGGCCCTAAAAATGTTTGGATATGTATGAGAAACAAGAGGTAATATGCATAGCATATTAGGTGGTTATCTATACCAGACCTAATGACATCAAGCATAAATACCCACCCCAACACCATCACCAGAAAATGATTGTGTTCACAGCACATTGTACATAGGATATGAAAGCTAGTATGCACCAGTTGAAATTTCACCAACACTTGTGTGGGTGTTTTTTTTTGTTTTTTGTTTTTTTGTTTTTTCAGTGCTTCAATTTGTTGACATTTTAATTACTCAAAATAAGAATTTAAACCTGAGATCACTGTGTCCTTTAATGTAATTTTTGCCTCTCTATAAACAATAACATAGTAAATATACAGTAAAAATCTTTTTCCAAGAGAACTACTAGCATGTCAAGCGGACTTTTCATATACAGCGCTAAATGACTAGGTATGAAAGCTTGGAAAACATGGTTGTAATATTAATATTGACACTGGTGGCACTATTGCTTCTACTCTTGTAGAATGATGAGAATACAAGAACAAACTGTTCTTGAGACCATAATAGTTCATAGCGCTTCAGACTCTTTATCCGTAGTGATTAGTTCAGCTCTAACACTGATACAAACTAATCATAGAATATCAGGGTTGGAAGGGACCTCAGGAGGTCATCTAATCCAACCCCCTGCTCAAAGCAGGACCAATCCCCAACTAAATCATCCCAGCTTTTGTCAAGCCTGACGGTAAAAACCTCTAAGGAAGGAGATTCCACCACCTCCCTAGGTAACCCATGCCAGTGCTTCATCACCCTCCTAGTGAAAAAGTTTTTCCTAATATCCACCCTAAACCTCCCCCACTGCCACTTGAGACCATTGCTCCTTGTTCTGTCATCTGCTACCACTGAGAACGTTCTAGCTCCATCCTCTTTGGAACCCCCTTTCAGGTAGTTGAAAGCAGCTATAAAATCCCTCCTCATTCTTCTCTTCTGCAGACTAAACAATCCCAGTTCCCTCCGCCCCTCCTCATAAATCATGTGCTCCAGCCCCCTAATCATTTTTGTTGCCCTCCGCTGGACTCTTTCCAATTTTTCCACATCTTTCTTGTAGTGTGGGGCCCAAAACTGGACACAGTACTCCACATGAGGCCTCACCAATGTCAAATAGAGGGGAATGATCACATCCCTCTATCTGCTGGCAATGCCCCTACTTATACAGCCCAAAATGCCGTTTGCCTTTTTGGCAACAAAGGCACACTGTTAACTCCTATCCAGCTTCTCGTCCACTGTAACCCCTAGGTCCTTTTCTGCAGAACTGCTACCTAGCCATTCGGTCCCTAGTCTGTAGCAGTGTATGATAGTCTTCCATCCTAAGTGCAGGACTCTGCACTTGTCCTTGTTGAACCTCATCAGATTTCTTTCGGCCCAATCCTCTAATTTTTCTAGGTACCTCTGTATCCTATCCCTACCGTCCAGTGTATCTCCTCCTCCTCCCAGTTTAGTGTCCTCTGCAAACTTGCTGAGGGTGCAGTCCACACCATCCTCTAGATCATTAATGAAGATATTGAACAAAACCGGCCCCAGGACTGACCCTTGGGGCACTCTGCTTGATACCGGCTGCCAACTAGACATGGAGCCATTGATCACTACCTGTTGAGCCCGACGACCTAGCTAGCTTTCTATCCACCTGATAGTCCATTCATCCAGCCCATACCTCTTTAACTTGCCAGCAAGAGTCCTATGAGTTGGGTTTTTTTTTCTTCTTCTTTCAGTCATGGTTTTTAAGGATTTGACTACCCTACAAATAGAGGTGGGTCAGGGGACATGGTTACTACATATTTTCATTATGCAGTATACAGAACCTGTTTAAGGGTTTAGCTTGGTTATGAAACCCAGTTAGACGCTTCTACACTACAAATAATATTATGACAAGCTCCTTTGAGACAGATGTATTTGTAGTATAGAAGGAAGGATATATGTGTAAGCGGGTGTCCACATCATAATTTGTACCCCTATTGGCATTTTCTCCTAATCTATTCAGTCTAGGTTTAAAAAGACTAACTTAGTTTCTGCCTCAAAAGTAATTTTGGTTCAATTTTGGCACATGGGCTGGGCAGTGTGGTAGGAGGGTAGGATTTTTAATTGCTGCCACTTGTGTTATAGTGTGATGTAGATAGATACAATCTCAGTCTCCAGAGCTGTCAGTCTATTTCCTTTACCTGAGTGAAATTAATTTTTCTAAAATTAGATTTGTTTATTGTGTGGGTTAGAAAATAAATATTTGATCAGTGTTTGTATGTAATTTACTTCAAACACCATAATAATGACAGAAGTATTGTAAGCAACTTTCTTTTACTCTAATACTTTGCAAACATCTGCAAAACACTAACTTTTACAGAGTTAATTCAGAGTCATGGCACATACCTTGTGTTTGAGTGGATATGAGTTCTTTAATACTTTGCATTCCCTCACATATTTCACAAGCTTACTAATTTTATGGTGTAAGCAGACAACACAATCTTTTAAAAAGATTAGGGCTGTCAATCGCAGTTAACTCGTGATTAACTCAAAAGAATTACGATTAAAACAATTAATCGCTATTAATCTCACTGTTAAACAATAGAATAGCAATTGAAATGTATTTTTTGGATGTTTTTCTACATTTTTCAAATAGATATACTTCAGTTGCATCACAGAATACAAAGTGTACAGTGCTCACTTTATATTTTTATTACAAATATTTGCACTGTAAAAATGACAAAAGAAATAGTATTTTTCAATTCACCTCATACAAGTACTGTCATGCAGTCTCTTTATCAAGAAAGTGCAACTTACAAATGTAGATTTTTATTTTTATTTTATTTTGGTAACATAACTGTTTTGTTTTGGAGTACAATGTAAAACTTTAGCGCCTACAAGTCCACTCAGTCCTACTTCTTGTTCAGCCAGTCACTAAGACAAACAAGTTTGTTTACATTTACGGGTGCTAATGCTGCCCGCTTCATTTACAGTGTCAGCTGAAAGTCATAACAGGTGTTCGCATGACACAGTTGTAGCTGGCGTTACAAGATATTTACTTGCCAGATGCGCTAAAGATTCATATGCCTCTTCATGCTTCGGCCAGCGTTCCAGAGGATATGCTTCCGTGCTGATGACCCTCGTTAAAAAAAAATGTATTAATTAAATTCCTGACTAAACTCCTTGGGAGAATTGTATGTCTCCTGCTCTGTTTTACTTGCATTCTGCCATATATTTCATGTTATAGCAGTCTCAGATGATGACCCAGCACATGTTCGTTTTAAGAACA